AATTGACAGCATCTTTGCCTTCAACTGGGAAAAAGTCGATCGAGAACATTTAGTTCTTGAACATTCAAAACTTATTGGCATCTATGATGAACTCGATCTATTGTGTTTATCAATTCAAGAATAAATCGATTTTGTTCACCGACATTTATGTACGTTCAGCTTCTGCGATCAAAATGAATATTTGACAAAAGATCTATCGCAACAAACTGCCGATCTTCTTTGGTATCAACTTTATCATGATGTTCTCTTTGAGTTAACACATGATGAAAAAGCTAGACAAGAAATGATCGATGCTTGTCGTTCCTACTATCGAGATAATATCAAAGAATTGGAAGTGATTGACAAGTTTGAAAATGAATATCGATCAGAAGAAGCTCTTCAATGGTATTTAAGAAAATCATTTATCTACAAAATCATCAGCAAAGCATTAAGAATCAAAGATTTCGATCAGCTGTACACATTTCGGTATTTTATGAAAGATCTTACAGAATGTCTCGATCGAGAACATCAAAAGATTGTTGAATCTGGTAAAGAAATATTATTCATGTATCGAGGAATGAAACTGACAAATGATCAAATCGAGAAATTCAAAGAAAACGAAAGTAAACTTGTTTCAATCAATGGATTTTTCACAACAAGTAGTCTTTGTTCAACTGCATTGAACCAAGCAATGAAACTTTCGAAAGACACTGATCTCATCCTTGTTCTCTTAAAGATCCAATACCATGTACAACATCTGAACAACAGTGGCATTGTTGCTGTCAACGTTCATTTCGGTGAATCTACATATGAAGGAGAACAAGAGATTCTGTTCGACTTAAATATCACTTTTCGATTGGAGAGTGTGAAAATGGAGGAAGGCATGTGCTTAATTAAAATGAATGCATCAAATGAAGGTCAACTTATCAAAGAAAACTTTATCAAAGATTCACGTCGTCAAATGAAAAATCTAAGCACCAGTATTCTGTTTGGAAGATTGATGTGTGATATGGGTCAATGGAATCAATCACAACATTTCTTTGAACATTTATTGAACAACTCGAATATCTACAATGAAGATCTTACAAAGATTGAATGTAGTCTTGGTGAGGTTCTTCAATGGAAAGGAGAATGGAATGAAGCACGGAAATATTATGATCGGGCTTATGATCGGATAATGAATGTGAAACCCACACGGATCAAGGATTCAGCTGATATACTTTTGAATATTGGTAAAATTTTCTATCTAGAAGGAAAGTACGAAGAAGTTGGTGATTACTATGAACAAGCATTAGCCATGCGAGAAGAAAATTATTCCTTTACCAAGATTAACAACCCTTGTGCACCGAATCGTCGACGCCGTAATGTGCTGAGTCGTATTCGTGCGTCGTTCCAGTCAGTTTTATTGAGTTCAGGGGGATTATTTCATCCGTGTTCCGGACGACTTTGGACTAGAAAATTTCGAGAAACTTCTCGTTGGTTTCGTTCGAAATATGCGACAAACAGAGCGGAGCCTGTTGACGAACAGTCAAGCCAAACTCACTTACAAGAAATGTGTCGAAACTTACAGGAAACTGGTTGGTTACAATTGATGGAGATTCACTTGGATAATTATGTGCCTATTGCTATAAGTCTCCATAGTTTCGAAAAAATCCTCTTTCGACAAGCCAAGTATGATGAAGCACTTATCTTTCATAAACAAGCACTGGCAATGCTCGAAGAATATTATCAATGTCCTCATATCGATATCGCCGTTTGTCTTGGCTATATTGGCCAGGTTCTTACATATAAAAGAAAATACGACGAAACTCTTGACTTCTGTCAACGAGCAATGTCAATTTATACAAAATATTATCCAAATGGTCATGTATACATTGCCTCCACCCTCAATTATATTGGTTACGTTCTCTATCTTCAGGGCAAACATGATGAAGCTCTGAAGACTTATGAACGAGTGTTGGCAATGTTACAAAAGTATTATCCATCGGACCATGTCAAGATTGCCGTTTGTCTCACTGCAATAGGAAATGTTCATTATGAACAAGGGAAATATGATAAAGCCATTGGGTTTCAGAAACAAGGACTGCAAATTCTACAGAGATATTAGTTTCCTGGCCATGACGGCATTATTTGTACTCTAAATAACATTGGCTATATACAAAAAGAACCAGGAAAGTATGATGAAGCTCTTGATTTTCATCGACGAGCACTAGCACTTCAAGAGAAATATTATCCATCTCATTATGGTAATATTGCTAACACTCTCAATCACATATTTGGTGTATTATTTTGTCAATCGAAATATGGTGAAGCTCTATGCTACTGTCAACGAGTGTTAACAATGCAAGAGAGCTATTATCTTTCAGGCAATGCTTCAATAGCCCCGAGAATCAATAACATTGGTAACATCTTATATCAGCAAGGAAAATACGATGAAGCTGTTGATATTTTTCGACGAGCACTATCAGCTGTCGAAAAACACAGTCCATGTGATCATTTCTTCTATTGCCTTTTATATGAACCATATCGGGATGACATTATGCAAGCAAGAAACATATGATGAAACTCTTGATTATCATCGAAGAGCACTCAAAATGCAAGAAAAATATTGTTCATCTTGTCAGCGCGATATTGCCAATACTCTCAATTACATCGGTAATATTCTCATTAGGCAGAAAAAATACGATGAAAACATAAACTTTTATGAACGCGCACTCAACGTGCAAGAGAAATATTATCCAACTGGTCATGTGGACATTGCGACAACCCTCATTAATATTGGCACAACATTTTGTCAACAAGAAAAGTTCGATAAAGCCATTGAATATCATCAAAAAGCATTAGAAATTCAAGAGAAATATTATCCACCAGGCAGTATCATCATAGCTAATACCATCAATAGTATTGGTCATATTCTGTACGATGAAAGAAAATATGATGCAGTAGTTGACTATTACCGACGGGGACTTTCAATACAAGAGAACTTCTATCCTAATGGCCACATTGATATTTCTCATACTTTCAGCTTCATTGGTGATATTCTATATAAACAAAAAAAGTACGAGGAATCTTTTCAGCTTTACCACAGAGCCTTGACTATTCAAGAAAAATATTATGAATTTGATCATATAGACATCGCGAAGAGCCTGAACTCTATTGGTAAAGTGCTGTATAGCCGAGGGAAATATAATGAAGCTATCGATTTCTATCAACGATCATTGACTATTCGAGAGAAATATCATCCATTTCGTTATGCTGGCATTGCTACCGTTCTTAGCAATATTGGAAAAGCTCTGCATTGGCAAAGAAAGTATGATGAAGCTCTTGATTTCAATCAACGGGCACTAACAGCTCGAGAGAAATTTGATGCAACTAATCATATTGGTATTGCTGATAGTCTGATAGACATCGCCAATGTTCTAAGAGATCAACAAAATTACAATGAAGCCATCGAATACCAACAACGAGCATTGATGATCCGAGAACATCATTATCCTTCTGGTCACGTGAACATTGCTTATTGTTTGAGCAACATCGCAAATTTGCGAAAAAGGAGCGGTGAATATGAACTCTCTCTTATATATCAACAGAATTGTTTCTTAATCCGTATTAAAATTCTACCACCAGATCATGAGGATATTGGCCATAGTTTATCTAGCAAAGGTGAAATTTACGAAAAACTTCATAAATTTACGTTAGCACTTCATTACTATCAACAAGCATTAGCTATCTATAGAAAATGTCTGCCTTCTTGTCCTATTAATATATGGATTATGAAATCGAATATTCAACGACTTTCAAAAAAACTTGGAATAGAACTCAATTAATCTGATTCACTTTTCAAATATACTTGTTTTCGATTAAATATTATTATTATAAGAGTGAAGTGTTGATAGAAATATCTTGATAAGAATAAAGCGGGACTGTTGCATACATCTATTGTCTAACGAAAAATAAAGTTGCTCAGAATGCGTCCTTCATTCAGCAATAATCTATTAGAAATAAAATGAAAACAGTTTTTAATTCGATCAGCAAGAATTGAGTCGTGCATTACCTTTTCTAATAAGTCTCGTAAGAGTAATCACAATTCTTTCAAGAATCACAAATCATACTAAGTAATTAGAAATTAATTCCCAGAAATAATATGAATGTGAATGAGAAAGAACGAATAGTAGTAAATTACAATCAATAAATATTTTATTGGTAGACCAGCAACATCTGACATATCTCTCTCTTTTCTTCTCTTTGTTCGTTTATCAGACATTTGAAAGTATGAATATTCGTTCCTAATATATCATTTGTTGACAATGACTATTTAAAGTAGAATGTTCACTGGCAACAACAGTTGTCAATGTTGTCTATAATGAAGGATACACCAAAGTTGAAATTCGATTTTTTTTTCTTCGAACATCCCTGCATGATTTTGGGAAATAGAAATAATAACATTCCAGTTTAAATAAGATATCACTGAGAGTTTTCAAAACTTTTATAATGAAAATTAAGACATCTTATCACTGTATCTCCTCTTCTATTGCGATTGTTAGACAAGAATTTATAATCATGTACATCCAACAGAAGAAAGAGATGACATAGCCATTTAGTGGGAAAAAAACTCTATCGTACAATGCAGTTATACTTTCTGATTACTCATAAGAATGATTTTAACGAGATCGCAAGGTAATAAATGTCTCTCTGGGTGTGGACGAAAGAAACACAGATCCACAGCGCACACCTACATCCACACTTCTACGCCTACTCCGGCCCAAACACTCACCACCAGAGGCATCACTACTGTCGTACCCACCCACACCCTTTGATACACACCTATGACTTCTATTCTCTAGATTATTCCGGTTGTTAAGTTATCCAGATGTTGAATAGTTGTTTTATAAATTTGTTATGCTTGATCCTGATCAAAATACAATGGTACCAAGTTACAAGGAAGTTCATGAAATGAGTCCATCGCTTTCAGTTCACTGATCATTAAATCGTTCATTAACACAGTAGGGAACCGTCTAAAAAAAGAATTTCATTCACTATATTATGCCGAGTCAGTTTCAAAGTTTCATCACGTATATAAAAGGCACTTTCGATATTGAAAATGCTTAGTTCATTATCATAAGTTTCGTTTTAATTCTTCTCATTGGATAAATTATCATTTAACTCTATTTGAAACACAGAGCGTAGGTGTAAGTCTTTTTTCCTTTTATAATCATGCTATGTAGCTTGTTTTACTTGGTTTCAACTCATTCCTTTTATTTTGGCTGCATAATACGTAAGCAACGTTTTTTTTTTCAAAAGTCAGAACGCGTTTACTTTTTCCGAAAAAAAGATTAAAAATAACTATCATCCTGTGTTTGAATCGAATCGATGCATTCTGCAGAGCTATGATATAACACATAAATCTTGTGAACAACAAAGTGGTAATTTTTTCAACGATAGCTTGAACCAAGATTTGAATCTACTACCAGTCGATTTCAAACCAAGCACAACTAGCTCTGAGTCATACACTATTCAAAATTGTATCTATGTTTATGAATCACATGATTAGCTCGTTTTACATTGCTTGTTACAAGTTTGAGAATAGATATGTTGATTTATCTTTACTTCGCGACATAAATATAAATGAGATATGTATTCCTATGGAATCAAGATAAATATATTCTTTACCTATATAGAAACAAAGATAAAGAAATTGAAAAAATTATTATTCAAAAAAATAAAAATGATAGAATAAAGAAAAATCTCATTCTCTGATAGATAAATATGCCAATATTGTCTTCTTCTCACTTATAGATGTTCAATATCCGATGTAAGTCGACTTTTCTTTTGTGAAAAAGCACTAGTGAAATTTACATTAAATCAAATAATTGAAAATATAAGTGACATACTCATAGAATTTATTCGTTTGTTTAGGAAAGTAACGATGAGATTTATAACAAGAACTTTAAACTGATAATCTGCCATGTATGCATTCCTAAAATATTTTAGAAGTCATGTAAAATGAGACGTATAGTTTTGTCAATAGTTTAATATTTCCAATAAGAGATGTATAAATAAAAGTCAATTATGATGTGAATACTTATTGGATATAATTAATCTATTAAATTAAACTCAACTTGGCTAAATTTTAATAAGAGAGATGCAATCTAAATGCAAGAATCCGGTTCGATTTTGACACATAGGGATGATTTTTTTAAAACTTCTTTGATAATAAAGTAAACACGTCTAATTCATTAGTGGTGTAAGGTAGCAAAGTCAGAAAGCACATATTAATTTGCCGTCAACATAGATCAGTATTGACATGTTTGGCTTTTTGAACGTGTTAACACGCTTGGAAATCTTACATTTTGGACACGTTCCAGAGCATCAAATTATAAAACTTATAGATCCTCAGGGACTCGTTAAAAATCTAAGCATGATTACATGGGCAGTTAAAAGAATATCCTCGAGTTACTCTGACTTCAATAGAAATAGATAGCTTTTCTTACAGAATCTACTGCTCAGATCCTTATTCTAAACTGAGATCAGCTTATGCGTTTCTGGTTTACTAAATACAAAAATATGAAAACAGAATAATTATTAGCAATTGAAAAGTTTGATAGATATGGTCAAAATTCTTCTTCTTGAAATATTTATGATAAAGAATTGTACATAGACGTATGATGCGGCTTATTATTCTTGTTCAATTGAATTAATAGAAAACAAATATATCTACTTAAATGAATTAAAAAATCATTTTTTCTTTCCAGTTATGATCTTTCAAATCTAATATCATGACATGAAAAATTTTCTTCAATTACAGTAGCACCCGAATGAAGATGCAATGCGCTGGACTTATAGTCGCATTTTCGTATCGAAACAAATTTCTTTGTTAAAAATTTATTTGCACTGACTAGACTAGCTGTATAGCTATATGGTCAACAGCATTTCGAAAATTAACGCATCTGAACGCGTTGTATCGACTCTATCATTCCAAGAGCATTTACTGGAAGATTGATGCTTCATGAATATGACAAAGAACAATTGTAGAACGTAAGTGATTTAAATCCAATCTAATCCCATTTGATCTCTTAATCTCGACCTGTGTACACTTGGGTTTTTCACTTTCTGATAGTTCTCAGATTACTTGAAGCTCTTATAGTTTTGGAAATCCTTAGACTTGTAAGAGTTTTCTGAATCACTTGTATTCCTCTGACTAGAGTAGTTCAAGCATGGCGCTCACTTATTGATTTCATTAAATTTCATTTTATTTTAGTGACGCACAGCGAAATTGCACTTTTGAGAGTTCTATGATAAAATACAAAAGTTATCATATAAAAAAGTAGCAGGCTATCATCTTTTTTTTTTCTTGGTAGCCTAATTTGTTGTAATGTCATAGACTTACGTAAGTCATGAAAATTGACAGATAAAATCTCAAACATATCAACTATCAATAATAGTCAATCCTGATTCAAATAGCATTTCTCTGTCACCTCATTTTCCTTAACTTTCTGTCCGTATTCCGCATACTTAATTCTTTTTCCAATTTTTTTCCTTCTTTGCGACCATCCACATAAAAACTTTTCTCATATACATAAATATTCTCATACTTAACTAATTTTCTTTTTACTAGCGTTTGTGATAATAGAAGATAGAAGAAGGGAAAAAAGATGCTTGCGAGCAACGTTCCAAGGATAACACTTAAACTTGACTAAGTCAAATATTTATATTGATAGATAGCCATAATAATAATTAGCCACACCTCTGATCAAAAACCTTTACTCTTCTTTCTTTTATGAAGCACGATCTATAAACTAGTGTTAAAATTTAAGGACAAAAGTATGAACTCCTCGTATGTCGTTAAAGATTTAGCCAATAAAATCGAATCAACTAGAAATTAACTATTGAACTCAATTGAATTCGTTATATAAATATGTTTCTATCAAAAATCAAGAAAATAACACTTAACAACCTTATTCATATCATGGACACATGCTGCTAATAACAGTGACCTGATGAAATCATTCGAGTATTTAAGTTTTCGTCTATTCAGCTTTTCAATGTGGCATGCTCATGCAGAGATACCATATATGTATGTTTCTATGAATCGAAAAAAAAACTGAATCCTTTAATATTTGAATATTTGAAAAGTTGAAATGAAAATTTTAGTAGAGTTGTTTTATTTGCAGCATGTATATCTCTAGAAGAAGTCATCTATACAAGTTAATACTTACAATTTATACCTAACTCAGATGCATCTATCGCAGAACTATCGATCGCAGTTAACATAAAAGAAATCATATACCGAGAATTGCATTGTATCATAATTCTAGATTCTAATAATGATAGGAGTATGCTTCATGATTGATGAGGCCAATGGAAAATTTTATTCTGACCATGAATGAATAGTTTTGAGAAACATTCAAGGCCTATATCTAATATAGTATATGAAGCTTGTTCGTTGTTGTTCATACAGAAACAAGTCCATACGGGTTATGAACAGTTATTCATGTTAAAATTTTTTCGTTTTAGAAACTATGCTGGAATTATACATTAGAAATTTATGTCGATCTGACAGTATGAAATCAGAAACAACCAACGTACAACCTCCATTAGGATAAAGTTTATTGCAAAAATGTTATTAAATAAAGACACTTTGTAAAAATACCAAAAATCATAGCGTCTGTCATGATCCTAGAGAAACAGTCGTTCAGGCAAGGATATCCGCAAAGTTGTTTGGACACTGCAGAATACAGTAGGAATGATTTTTAGACCACGATTAATTGATCTCGCAGATGAACTTGATCTGTGTCGAAGAAACATAAATAATAGAAACTTTTCATCT